ACGGAGAAGAGAAGGTTTCTCCTGGTCGAGGTTCTTGCCTGAGTCTGTGTAAGGGCCGGAGCCTCGGAATAGGTGCCAGCTGCCTGGTGCCCTGGGTCCCAGGGTGGTCCGGGAGGAGGGGAGGGGAGGAGGGCCGGACACGGAGACCACAGGCTCTGCCCCCCCGCTGTGCTCCCGCCCTGGGCTCCCCAGCTCACACTAGCCACTCACACTCACTCACTACATGACCACACACACCCCTCCCCTTCCCCACCCCTGCTCTCCACCCACCCAGGCCCTGCCAGCCTCCTCCCTCCCACCCCAGGAGGTAGGGGGCCAGCTCAGTTTCCTCAGCGCCCTCTGGGTCCCCACCTGCTATCCGAGGGCCCCTCGCCCACAGCACTGCCAGACAGCACGCTGCAGACGGGGACCCCCACTGCCCAGTGCCTCAGGCCCCAGGCCAGCTGGCAAGCCCAGGACCTGGCTAACCCGCTGCTCCAAATCCCAAGGAGAAAGCCCTCTCCTCAGCTTCCCTAAGCAGGACTGGGCACTGGGTGGTGGGGGCTCCCTCTGACTCTCCCCGGGACCCCGCCCCACCCACGTGTCCCCTCCCCAGATGCTCTTCAGCCCCTGTCCTCCCACAGGGCCTCCCTGCCTGCTGGCTCCTGTGACCACGACTGGCCAGCGCCCAGGACCTGGGAGAGCCGCAGAGGCCTGGCTCAGGGAGGCTCTTGACGCCAGCTCGGTCCTCCCCTGGCCTCAGGCCCCTCCTCTCCTTCTCCCCTCCCCCTGCCTTGGCATTCCCTCCTCCCCTTCTTTCCCTCCCCTGCCCCCCAGCTCCTCCCCTGCACTTCCTCTGCACACAACACATCATCATGACTCTCTTCGGCTGGGAGTCTCCACGGAGTTGAGGCCACCCCAGCCTGCCAGTCGGGGCCCTCCCCAGGCCTCCTTGTTTCCAGAAGGCTCTGCATCCCAGGCTTTCTCAGCATTTGGCCAAGTGTGGGGCCCTGCCCACTGCCACCCCGACCCCCGACCCCAGCCAGCCTCCTTCCTGGGGAGGGGGTCAGGACCGAGTAGCCAGAGAGCCGACCCTGGGGGTCCCCCCTCCCCCTGTCTGCCTTGCCCTGGTGCCCACCTTCACTCGACTGCCTGGCTCCCAGGCTGACTAGGGCCAGGGCCACCCGCACTTGTGAGCCCATTCCGGTGGGGGCTGGGTGGCAGGAAGGGTGGCAGTGAGAGAAGGAGGTGGGCCCTGCGGTGAGTCCCAGAGGGAACGCATGGCTGCCTGGAGCTGTGGGCTGTCTGTCCCCTGGAGGCCTGGCTGGCCGGACCAGTCCCAGGGGCTTATCTAGCATCTCCACCTGGGGCCTTTCCGGGGAAGCTGCTAGACCCTCTGGCCACACCTCCCAGGGCCCATCCTCAGGGCGGCCACACCCCCCCACCCCCACCCTCCCCACCCCCCCTGGCCGGCCCCCAGCTCAGGGCTCAGTCAGCTCCGGTCCAGCGCACAGCCTCCCTGCCCCCAGGCCTGCAGAAGTGAGGACCCCTCCCCCACTGCTTGGCCACCAGGCCCAGCTGCCTCCCTCTCTCTCCCCAGGTGGAGGCTCTGCTAGTGAAGTCACCACCTTCCTTATTCATTCTCCTCAGCATGGGGTTGCCATCTTGTTTGTCTTTACCCAATGTTAACTTAAAGGAGAAAACACGCTTATTTAAAATGTTAACTGTGAGTTCTGCATGCTGGAATTCTTTTATTTGCCTCTAGGGTAGACATATCCCAATCAGCAAAGACAAAGCCTATACATGGGACCCCACATGCATCTCTCTCTCCAGGACTGACTGTGTCCACAGGCTGCTCCTGGGTGGAAAAGGGAGGGAGGGAGGGTTGACTTGGGGTGCTTATCATTGCCTCCCAGGTTCCCAGGCAACGTGAGACTGTGCCCTGTCTTGGGCTGCATACCCCCCCCAGGAGAGACAATGGGTTCCCCGCAAGCAATGCCGGCTCCTCTGCTGGGGGCGGGGAGGCCAATCGCGGTCCCCAGGCAAGGAAGGGAACTGCG